GACAGGTATACTGATTTTAAATTATCAGTGTTTTCCTTGGAAGATGTCTTTGGGATCTTCTTAATTCCTCTGTTACCACAGGAGTAGCCGAAATTTTACTCATAGAGAATTGAGCGAAGAAAACAATAACCAAATTCTTTTAAAAAGTGTTTATTCTGCTAAAACAAGTTCTTATCCTCTTTTTCTCAATACTAATAAGTTTAATACAGAAAAAGTAAAAGTCATGATTTCTGACTGCTGATTCTAATGATGTATAATAATATATGTTGTTTATTTTTAGGAGAACACAAACCCTTTTGAATTAGGCCTCTACTTTGTAGTAAATGCCGGAGAAATATCACTCTCACTCAAGCTGATGTAGTGGCCAAAAAATATTTGAGGGAGCCAAACCTACCTGAGACTTCACTAACTAAAGATTATTAATGAGTCCTTTGTGGATTCCTCTTTTGTCTGTGACACACAGAGGAGGACCAAAATCAATGACAACTTAGACTATTAGGAAAACTACATATCATCTTACTATAAAAAGATGGTGTTCTTTTTATTAGTGGGATTTATTTCAGAATTACATGTGTTAGCTTACGCTAAGAGTGATTTGGAATTCAAATTGGTATCATAAAATCACCAGTACGTTGTTTTGCTTGCTAAAATGAGCTGGTTAAAAATGTCTTTGTCCTATTTTGGGAAACATTCCAAGAATTTTCCCTTAACTTGTTACTGACTACGACCTCCGAGTGAGTTCAATGCCCGAATGCTTTATGCATCAGTGCGTCATTTCAATTCAGCAAAAGCGGCTTCAGCCTTACACTTCCGCACAGTGGCGGTCAAGTTTCCCGGGATGAGCTAGGCCAGCTCCATGCGGTCGGCTTCCCCACCTGGCTTCAACAGAGTGGCGCCGCTCGGCACGTAAGCAAACAGACCCTGGCGCTTGTTTCGGCAGCTCCGTCTTCCGAGGCTCCGCGGTGTGCGTGTACCACCTGGCTGACATCCAGACCGTGTTCAACGGGCCCTTCGCGCACAAAGAGGGCCCGAACCACCAGCTCATCTCCTACCAGGGGCGCATCCCGTACCCGCGGCCTGGAACCGTGAGTGTCTGGGGAGGGGTGGCTGCTGTCACGCCTGCCACCAACAGAAACTGACCGCCAGTGAGTGTTTATTAACCAGAACTCTAGCCCTCGTGCTGTGCTCACCCTGCGCTTTCACTTGAAGCAGTCCTGTTCCAGGAACCGCAGATTTGGGGCCTTACTAACCTGTCACGTGCGGCGTCCTGCTCCAATTTTAAGGTGCTATTGCTGACAAAATCTCCTTTAGATTCCAAAACGCCACACAAGGCCAACAAAGCAGGTGTATTTTTCTAATTATAATCAAATAGCTTCTGAAACTTCAAAAGTGTTAGTCTTTCAGGGGAAGCTGAAATATTTGGATACTGGTTATTTTCAAAAACACTTCCCTAAGTTAAAGAACCCTGCCTGTTTTACTGAAGGTCTAACAAAGTGAAAATTAACTTAGATGCGACTCGGGGGGAGATTTATTTCTTTTCCTGAGGGCCCCTGGGAGTTGATCTGGCCCTAGCTTCCTGTCAGTGGAGGAAATGCAGAGGCGGCTGTGAAGTCCGGGCTTTATTGATGGTCCTCTAATAACCGTGGGCATTATACAGGAGTAGCTGGGCTTGCACACTCCAGTTCCATCCTCCCTTAATCTCCAACAAACCTCCCCAGAGGAACCTATCAAGAACATAGGCCCAGAGGCAGCTAAGAGTGGGCCAAGCTGGTTCGGCATGGGAACTTGCGGCACAGAGCCTCACAGGTGTGCTGTGGGCCTCCTTGCGGGCTCTCCCGGCAGAGGATGTGCTCTGTGTGCTCTTCTTCTCGGCTGAACACATCACAGTGGTAACCACATTAGCCTTGCTGGAAATGCTAGCACCATGGCAATGGGCAGATGCTGCAAGTCGGGGCTGCCTTCGCCCCTGAAGGAAACCACCCCAGCCCCCACCTGTCTTGCCCCTCAACTGTACCACCACTGCAAAGCTGCCTCCGCTCACAGAGAGAGCTCTGAGAAACGTAGTGAGAAGCCGCTGGGGTCAAGAGCCGTTGTTCTCCATTGATGGCCACAGCTCAGCCCTTTTTAGCAAAAACCAAAATAAACCTATGCGGAATTTGGTCTCTGTTTGCAGTGTCTCAGCTTTTAAGGGTAAGCATTTTTCCTTCTCTGTTCTAAAGCAGGGTGGAACAAGCCAGGGCTGGGTGACACACATCTGGGCCAGGCTCTGTGCCAAAAGGGAGTAGGACACACTTAAGACATATTTCTATAATGTGGTTTCTTCCATCTGGTGTTGAGACCAGAACAGCTCTTTTAAATCCAAAAATTGTCAGATGAGTGGTCCTGAGGGGAAAGAGGGGCAGGGTGGAGTAGCGACCTTGGAGGTCCTCCCGGAAAAATGAGCTTCCCGAAGACCAGGGCCTCCACCCTGCTCGGGCGGGACTCATGAAGTCAGCCCAGCTCAGTGATTCAGAGCAGCCCTGTGGGTCTCTGGACCAGCCTCCCTGCTCACGTGACCAGGGGATCAGCAGCCAGCATCCCAGTGTTCCTTCCCTGGTCACCAGCTAGGAATGCTGCCTCTGAAGTCCTCCCAGGGAAGGATCAACTAGGATTGTCCCCCTCTATTTCCCCACACAGTAGTCTGGTTGCCAGGTCAACCCCATAAATATATGACCCTGGCAGAAATCCTATACCCTCATTCGAGTGCTCCTTGTTGGTGCTGCCTTTCCAGCCGGGCTGCTCACTATGTGAGCAAAGGGCCTCGCAGGCTGCCCCAGTCAGTGGCAGGAGGCCAGGCGGCACTGTCATAACGTTTTCCATCAGGAACTCAAGTTTGTGGGAGAAACAAGACACCTTGGTATGTTGCAAAGGGCAGCCAAAGACTGCACACACTCTCAGAGGCCCAGCTAACAAATTACATTATTCTGGTGCAACTCGTACAAAGCTTCTACAGAGACTAATGTTGTATGTATCATACATCCTTTTAAGGCAGGGCTAAATATAAGTTTCTTAGTTTAATATCTATTTGTAAGTGTAGCCGAAGCCTCGACTTCAATGTCCAAGGAATTATGATCCCCTAACTTCCTCAACCTTTGCTTTCCCATCTCCAAACTTCTTCCCCAACCTGGAAGCCAAGACTCCTACACCGCTCTGGACTACTTAAGGACAGTTGCTGAGTAGAGTTTAGCTCCTGGAGAACACAGCTCCAGCCTCACTCGCAGCGGCGGCGCGGATGTCCTAGTGGGCCCTGAGTGTTCTGCTACGAGGGGCTCAGTTCACTGTTTCCTTAGGTCCGAGACCAGGAGGAAGTTCAGGCATCTTGTCTGGGCCTGGAGTGCCACGATAGTGCCACCAGTGTCTACAATGGGCAGTCCCCTCTCAACTTGCTACTTTTGTCATCCCTCATTCTATGTCTTAGCAGCAAATTTTACACCATGAATAGTGCAGCAGCTACTGTCCAAAACTTCTATAAACTTAAACATAGGTCCCTACTTTGAGACTCCTCTTTCTAAGGGAAAAGTTCACTATGAGCGCATAAAAACTTTGTACGATATGACAACCATTGCTGAATTCCCATTATTTTGTTCAGTGAAATTTAGTAACATTTCCAATATTTGTTTGTTTGTTTACTATTTTGTAGTATCTTTAAATTTTTTTGAAAGAGAAAACAATTATTTTCCAATGGAGTCTAAGTACAGGAGTATAAGTTCATTGATTTGAGCTCATTTGCTTGGATCTTTTATTTTATAGTTATGGTTTCAAGCAAACTTACCAAGTGTCTTATCTGATTTTTCTGTTATCTTTAAGTAAGAGCCAGAAGCTAGGCATGTATAGTTTATGAAGTTCTTCACTCCCAAGCCTGTGCTCACTGGGAATAGTTAAGGCTTGCCTGGTGACCTGCGCTGACTTTGGATCTTTCTGGAGCTTGCAAATGTGGATGCTTGCAAGTGCTCAGGGTGCAGCATGGCTTCACAAGCCATAATTAGTGGTGCTTCATGACAGTCTGGAACTGTTCACAGTGCCCATGCACTGTTCTTTCCATGCTTTCATTTGCTGAGCAATGCCTTTTCTTTTCCACTTTGAGTGAAGAAACGAAGAAGAAAACACCCGTAATTCCACACTTTGCAGAAGCAAGGAGCACATCCGTCAGCTCAGCGCAACCTCAAATGAAACTCTTTGTCTTCGGCTTGGTCTTCAGTGTGGGCAGTTTGTAGACAAGCATTCTTAAACATGAAGCCTTCTCTTAACATAAAGACATGTGAACTGAAGGTAGTGGAATAAGGACATAAACAGTTTGCTCTGTCTCCTTCCTTCCTTCCCTAAGTCAGATCATTGCCCCCAGTGTCTTCTTCCAAAGAGAAAGCCACATTCCCTGGCCCTGTGCAAAGCTTTCCACGTGCTAACTCTTCAAGCTAATCTAGAAACTGCAGCTGTGAGGTTGCCTGACTCAGTAATATCACACTGGCCACTTGTGGAGACGCACTGGCAAATACTGTCCTGTCTGGCGAGTGACATCGAGGCATCAGTACTCCAGACTGCTCCATGGGTTCAAATCTGAGATGTCCATGTTCCTGTTGGTACCCAAAGTTGTTTTCCTTTCTTAACAGAGTAAACTTTAAATATCTGTTTGATTGCACACAAAATTGTCCCTTGCTGGTTTTTTTGCTAAAATCTAGCAAAACAGCCTCATACTGCTGCACAGGACAAGTCGCTGGGAACTGGCGGCCATGGATACCTTTGGATAACACGTGACTGACTGTCCAGCTGGTCCCAGTCACCTCACATCCCAGCCTGTACCCATGGCCAGCAATCAGGAAGCTTGCTTGGCTCCTTCCCTCTTCCCTCCAGTCTCTCTAATGAGGAGAGATGAAACTAGAACTGGAGTGCTGTGAGTTTCAAGAAATATCCCAGAGTCCCAGAACGATTCTGTTCCTGGAAATGAAGCTATTGTGAGGAATTCGGCAGGGTTTCACAAGTAGCTCTTATGTGTGTCACACTGTACAGTTTTGCTGAAATAACTCAGTGCTCCACTCATAATCCCTAGCAAGTTGCAATTCCAATCCCCAGAAGTTCCCAGCTTACCTTGGGCTTGGCGTAGTGCACACTATAAGGGGTTCATTCCCCTCAGAGGCCCTGGTCAGCATCTCTTTCCGGAACTCACAAGCCTTCCACAGCTTGATCCTTTAGCTCTCTTTATTGCTTTCTGTCTGCTTCTTAGAATGTGAGGTTAGAATTCCATCTCCAGTCCAGAGTCTTGGCCCTGTTCCACGTAGGCCAACACCAAAATCACAACGGAAGGTAATGAATAATATAAGAGGCACTTGACTACATCAGTAAATATCTGTCACTAGCTTATCACCACTCTGATGGCAAAGGAGACCATTACTGCCACCCATAGGTTGCATCCTCAATCGGGGAATGGGCAGTACAGATATGAGCAATGGCTATAGGACACACTTCGGGGAGGACCATGAAGAAATGGTCAGGCTGAGGAATCAGAACAGAGTCAGGGAGAGGGAGCTGCTTTCCTGGCATTGCGTGGATAAATCACTTTCAAACTAAGACCTAGGAAAAAGAAGGGCAGGTGGGGAAGGACAACGGTGAGGGGAGAGCTGGTGCAGCCGGAAAGGCTCTGAGGTCCAGGGCAGCAGGGCACAGCGGGGAGGCAACAGGGCCGCACCCCGGGCTTGCGAGCATCAAGGCTGCTGGGGTCAGCCTCTTAGAGACGGCCAGGACAGGGTCTCCTCCAGAGAGGATGGCGCGTCTTATGCCCTATGTTCACCTTCTGCACCCCTCCTCAAGGGGAAATTGGTGGGATGAAATTCACACATCTTTGATTCCTGCTTGAATTTGAAGTTACCCCCTGATTTATCTGAACTAATAGCACCATGAAATGGTATCCATGGGATTTTGATTTTTAAACCATATGCTGTCTAATACAAAAATTAAAAAATAGAAAAGTGATGGATTAGGAGAGTAAAAATCATACTAAGTACAAAAGGGCCTCTCACTCTGGAAATAAATGTGGTGTGGTCCATGGGCCCAGCCTCATTCGGGGACCACTCCAAACACATTCGCCCAGTTTCTAGGTACAACTGTACATGAGTCAGGCTATTTATTTTCTCTGCAGTGAGTGACAAAACACTTAAAATTACTTGACCTTCCGTGCATTTTTGAAAAGAGACTTTTTGATTATCACTAAAATAAAGTGACTTTTATACTGTTGTTCATCATTGTAATGCCTTGTTTCAGTGTCCAGGAGGAGCATTTACACCCAACATGCGAACCACCAAGGAGTTCCCGGATGATGTGGTCACTTTCATCCGGAACCATCCACTCATGTACAACTCCATCTACCCAATCCACAGGCGGCCTCTGATGGTCCGCACAGGGACTGACTACAAGTATACCAAGATCGCGGTGGACCGCGTGAGTGCGGCGGATGGCCGGTACCATGTCCTGTTTCTGGGAACCGGTGAGTGAGTGCAAGCTTTGCTACACAGGAGTACACGAGAAAGCAGAAGGACTCCAGGGCCTCCCTTTGCCCGAGTGAGCTATTTCATCTCTCTGTGTCCCTGTCTCCACATCTGTGCCTGGGGCCATCCATACGAATTACTCTGCAGGATATCTGAGGGAAGAAATGAATTAGTACGCCTGGAGCATCTAGACTAGGTCTGGCACCTGCTAAAGAGTGCTAGAAGGAGAGTGAGGGCTGGACAAGAACGTGCAGTGTGTGTGAGCACACAAGCAAGGCGGAGCCCGGAGCAGGGCACGTTCAGACTTCTCACCCTGGACCTGGAGCCCTTTCCTTAGCGTGGTGATAGTGGTGCGTAGCACACTCCAGCAAACATTTGCAAACACACCGAACTAGAACACAGGTGGCCCTACTGAAAATATCTATGCGGCTATTTTAATACTCCCCAACATTCCAAGCGGTTGGTGCACTAGAGTGGAAGGCCAGCGGAAGTGTTCTTGTTCGCAGGGTCACAGGCGTCCGTGACATGAGTGATAAGTGCGCAGGGTTTGTGATGGTGGTTCTCAGAGTGTGGCCTGCTGAAGAAATAGAGGCTCGCAGCTCCAGGCTCTCAAAGGCTGAGCTGTGAACACTCTCAGTAATTCTGGTGCTCCTCAAAGTTTGGGAATGATTACATGAGGGTAAGGAACCTCAGGCAGCTGGTCAGGCTGTATTAAAAATATATTTCTCTGCCTGGTTTATGTCATTTCCTGTGGTGTCCTCAGTCCATCTGTGTCCTAAATAATAGGGTTCCTCACACCCCTGACTGCCACACAGCAGTGACAGGATCTCAGACTCGCTGCATTTCATAATCTGTCTGTGAAATACAGTAGTTCCTCCTCTGACTCAGGAACCAGACGTAAAACAGGTCTGCAGAAGTCATTATGTGGACTACGGCAATGATGGAGATAGATTCTGAACTACAGAGGGATTTATGCTCAGACTTCAATCAATTTAAAATTATGGTTACTTATTCTTGGCGAACTAAACTTTCCAGGGAGTGTTTTTGTCATAAAGTTCTTATTTTTATCCCTTTTTATTCTTCTACCTAAATTCCCCAATCTGAATCTTTCAGACTTTGAGTTGGAAATTTCAGAGTGAAAATCTTCAAGAATGCATGATTTGGCCTCCTCTCGTGTGGACGTCTAGGTTTTCAGCTCCTCTCTGCTAGAGAAAAGTATTTCAGTGCCAGACAAACCATCCCTCCCTCTCCTCTCAGGCCTGGTGCCTGCCCCCCACCCCTCCTGGACCCCGTCCCCTTATGTTCCTTCCGAGGGCGTTGTTGTCAATACATGCTCTCAGCCCATGACCACACTCATCCTGGACACCACAGCTTGAGGGCGGATATCCCCCTTTCTCCTCCTCTCCCTCCATCCCTTTTTTTTTTTTTTTTTTTTCGGAACCAGGGATTGAACTCAGGCCCTTGTGCTTGCCAGGGAAGCACTTACTCCACTGAGCCATCTCCCTGACCCCTCCCTCCATCCCTTCTTGCCATCCTCCTTTGGAAAGGCTCTCTTTCTGTTTTCCTTTTCAGTTCTTTCTTTAAATTCCTTTCCTCTTCCTTCCCTCCTCCCTGCCCATCTCTTATTCCTCTTCCCATTGCTAAATATTTTCTTACTAACATTTTCCCATTTTGTTCCTTATCCATGCTCTGAGTTTCTCACACGAGGGAAGCAATGCACCATTTAAACTCACTTGTCTGATTTATGTCACTTGAGATATGGTCTCAACGTGCATCCTCTCACCAGATAGCCTCAGGGTCACCTTTCTTTAGGGCAGCATAGTACTCTATTGTATGTAAATACACATTTTCTTGGCACATTTGTCTATGTATAGGTATATAAGCTGTTTCCAACACTTAGTTATTGTTCTTCCTTGTATTTGTCCTTCATTTTTCCTCCACTGTACCTTGGCTTAAAATCTTCACTCCAGGATGTAAAACTGCACATACTTCTCCACCCACTGTCACCTCTGATTCATAGCTGATTCTGCCAGCATCTGGAATGTTCTCATTATAAGAAAATTCAGCCACACTTAGTGGCGCACCCCGATAATCCCAGATGCTCTAGAAGCTGAGGCAGGAAATTTTCAAATTCAAATCCACCTTGGGCAAGTATTGAGACCCTGTCTCAATTGTCTTTGACAAAGGGTCTGAGGTAAGTCACTAGAATACTGCTGGGTTCAATCTCTAGTACACAAAACAGAAAACCCAGTCTTCTAGCTCTTGGAGACTAACTTCTCTGGGTAGATTACAGGACCTGGTTAGTTTAATTAATGTTTGTCAAAATAAATTAAAATCATAATGATGTCCACTGTCACTCACATAATGAAATAAATTCATAAATGCCTATGAAAGCTAATCTTTGTATGCACACACACTACACTCTCCAGAGACCTAGAGCCCTGTATTGTTGAAAAGTTGCTTTCAGCCTCAGCTCTGATCCCCCAGTGTGGAACTTGCATTTGAAAAGTATGTAATACTGCGTTCTTTCCAGAAGCATCTCGGTCTTATTTTACCTTTCCTTCTTTAAGTCTTCTTCTATATAAAAAAAGTATTATTTCTTTTAATCTTCTTGGAGACTGACTTAAAGGAGGACTTTGATGCTGTAATTGAATGTTTTTTATATGAATCTATATAAAATATGTGAATGTCATGGATGGAATTTTCAGGCCTCTTAAAACTGTGCATCAATATTTTTGCAGATGCAAGACAGTAAGAAACATGCTTTTCAAAACTTCTTTAGCTTCTTGCTCTATACAAGTTTCTGGCACCTTTGTGGAAACATTTTAAGCTGGTATTTAAGCACTAGTGTCATTTTCTAAAACAACATTGAGCACATGTTCTTAATTATAATGGGATGCTTTGCTCAGGATCACTTACAAAGCCTTGTGCGTGTGGTGGGGACTCCGCCCTACCAGGAAAGTGTGGGCTCCGGCCGCACCTCTGCCAGCAGCGCCCTTCCGGAGAAATGTGTGCTCACTCCGCCGCTGTCCCATGTTCACACCGTTACATCAAGTCACACTCTGAATTCAGACAAGGCTCACATTTCATAGGAACTCTACCTACTGGTACACACCCACAATGTAGTCACTACCCAGCGATTCTTGGATTGCTAGGGCAATTTCCTCCAAAAGAGTGTTTGTGCTCGTGTGTCCCTCAAAGGCAGCCGTGTATCTTTGGCTGGCATGGCTCTTGGGGGAATCACAGGGCACTGCTCGGGGACTGCTTAGCCTTTTTGAGTTGAAATGGAAAAACGTATCATTATATGAGTTTTGCAAAATTTCCAAGTATAAGAGATCCTTTCAGCTGTCACAGATAAACAATAGTGCTCTAATTTTGGCCGCAAGGAGGAAATCTGTCATAATCTCCCTTCTACTCTTCGTTCTATTAATCTTTCAGGGAAATTAAATTAACACATCAGATGTCAAGGAAAACGCCACAGGGAACACTTAGTGACAGTTCATTGGAGAGCAAGCCGTGTAATGATATTTAATATGGTGCCATGAATGGCTTTGTACCCCCACCATGGCCCTGGTAGCTAGCTGTGTGGGTGCTGTGCCTGGCATTAAGGACTCTGCCCTGCTGGTCATCATCACCTGGAACTCCAGCAGAGCCAGAGACGCTAGGAGCCTTGCCTTCCACTCCTGGGAAACTAGCCCTGCTTATTTCTTATGAGCTGCCAGATGCAAGCAAAGAGAAATAAGTAAATAAATAAATAGAAAAAAGAAGGAAAGAATAAAAAAGGAAGCAAGGAAGGAGAAAACAAGTTTTGTCTTTTTACTTTTTACACATTAGTTTTATTATGAACACCTGGCCTGGGGTTGTCCACCTATAATTTATGGACTGCATCTACCCAGGCCGCTGCATGTTCTATATGGTACATAAGCAAAGAGTGCTGTTTCCCCTGGTGGAATGATATATAGTTATCAACAGAAGTAATGTTAATATTCCTGGGATTCAAGGCTCTTGAGGTTTGATCAGAATGCAGCCACACCCTTCACCTGTGCATTGTCTGTGACTGCTGTGGTGCCCTAGTGGCAGAGTCAGGCAGGTGACACAGAGACTGGGGTCTGCAGAGTCTGCAATGCATGCATATTTATCAGCCTTTCACGGGAAAAGTTTCTAGATGCTTGCTTTGGTTCATAACTATAAATTTTGCAAAATTAACCTTTCTAAGAAGCTATTTCCCAGTATGTAGAGGTAATAAAGAAATATATGATGTTGCTTAAAATAAATATTGCTTTTCTATCTTACATCACAAGCACCTAGCTATTTTGTTAACATTCGAGCCAAGAGCTATGTATGCTAAATTATTTTCCCACTCAGCCTTGCCCTTACCCCTTCTAAGAGAGAGTACAGTTTAAAATATTCAGATCCAGGCTTTGCTATATCCTGTGAGATTTGTAAATTTCCTTCTTTTCCTTTTCCACTTTTAGGAAGGGCTGAAAGCAGCAGGGAAGGTCTCTCCACGATTAACAATTTCTGATTTAACTTTGCTGCCTACTGCTCACATTCAGGCCACTCCTGCGAAGAGAGTATGCTACGCAGATGAGAGATTCCTACCTATTTTCCTAGTGCTTCTGGAGTAAGGAAAATATTTTCGTGCTGGGGTCGGGTTCAGATATAGTCTGTCAAATCCATATTTTTTTCACTGTACACGAATCCAAGTCACATGCAGGCTGTGATGAAAGACTGAGAGTATTCTTGTGAATGGTGCTAAAGGTTTAAGGTGATTTAATATCACCGTGCTTTTTAATGCGGAGTCAATGCACATGGTGTTCTGCCAGGATTCTTATAACGCCTGCGCTGGTTCATGCTTCTCACTAGCTTCTGTGGAGCTCGGAGAGTATTGAGTTCAGTGCTGGCTCCAGACAGTCTTTGGGAAGTGTGGAGTCCGGAAGTGGGTGCCACGTGCCCAGCAGGGTCTCACACTTGCCCACAGCCTTGGGCCTACCTGGCT